TATATCAAATAAGTTATCCATTTTATCTATGAACTCTATTGTATCAGCAGCTGTATTTTGAAGTGATCCATCTGCCATGCATGTTGTCATTGCACAGACAACAGTTTTACTGAAAACATGAGCCGCAAATTTCACTTTCATTTTTTGAAATGGGCCAGGATTGATGTGTTTTTCTGTCAATTTCGGTGCTAGGCGATGAGTTCGTTGTGCATCAGAATTATAAAATTGTTTTAAATGTTTACTCTCRATAATTTTGTCTTCAGAAACTAATCTATAACTAAAAAAGTTATTTCTGGTTGATTTTAGTAAATGAGGAGGGTCAAACATGTAAATAATTTCTTGAGTTCCGACTTTAAAATAAGGATTTTCTGGTGTTACACCCACACTGTCAGCAAATGATTTAAAATTAGARCCCATATCAGATATCATCACTCTGACATTGAATGAAATACTTGTCAACTTCAAAATACACTTATAAATTATGTTTTTTTAATGAAAAACCAGTGCAAGTTGAACCAACAAAATAATATCCTATTGGCTGTTTCCACGAATCATGAATACCCCTCATCATTAAAACCATTACAGATTTAGCAACATCAGTGGTTTTATGTGTCTCTRCATCATGGAATCCAATAACTTCATCTTTGGCATAATTGTAGTAGAGAAAGGCTTTTAATGACATTTCATCAACACATAACGCACAATCTCTACCTTTTTTAGTCATTGATTGTGCTTTCAAGGAAAGTACTTTAAAAACAAAATCACTGAGTCCAACTCCAATTTCCCAATGTTCTGTAGTCCTCTGCAAGGTTCTTATACTTGGTAAACACCATGCTTTTTTAAGAAATCGATAAACCTTTGCACCATAAAAATGAACCATTAAAGCAAACTRTTTTTCTTCTGATGTATACCTTCTACCTTTTGCTTTTGCTGTACACAATCGAGCTTGATTTTTAATAAAATTACACATTRTTGGCTTACCAGCAAAGAATGTGTCACACATATTGTAGAAGTCTGTTAATGTCACTGGTCCATCTAATTTGTCTTTTAGATTTACATTAATAGTTTTGAGGTTTTAACATTCTTTTAAAGCAGGTTTCAATTGCATTTCCATGTAACATAATCTTTCCTTTAATTTGATTTTTCTAGGTGTGTTTTGGGATAAACGTAATCCAGTCTGAGTTTCAGAATCTGAAATAAAATATTTTGTGTTGGTTACAATTTTAATTTCAATAGCTAGTTTATAGGTAAACATTTTTTGAGCTTAGGCGATAAGTSATATAACATACCTGAACAAGTAGTTGAACAACTTGATGAAGGTCTTGATGGAATATCCGATGTTGAACAGCTCTTTGAACAGCCAGGTAATGATTCTGGTGTTCTAGGAAATAATTCAACTGGGCTTAAAAATGAATCTAAAATCAAAAACTTAATTAATAACATGTATTGAAAATTGTAATATCTTTGACATTTACACTTACTGTTTGTAACATCAGGATCAGATATATGTTCAAAAGGCTGAGGAGTAGCACATTTTGGTACCTCAATCAATTTACTGTTCATTTCAACAGAATTTGCCATTTTTGGAGCTGCATTTAATTTTAATCGATTTGT